GGATACTGACTGATATAGATAGAGCCTACCCTCTCTGTCTTACCTCTTTCTGCTGCCAAGTAGCTTACTTTGTAAGATGTGTAATAATTGAAGAGCAAGCTATAAACAGTATAGTCTAAATTGTCAATCCTTTTACGGTATTCTCTATTACAAGATCAGAACCTTGGCATCTTATTTTTTTAGAGTTCTGTCTCATACATATGATAGTGGTGATATGATGACGTGATAACTGTTCATGTATATAGTCCGAAGTTTACCATTTGTAATCCGGTAAGCCAACAGCTTGTTTGTCATTTCAACATAAAAAAATGTAATTAAAAATGAAAAACTGTGCGACAATTTCGAATTGCCACGAATTAATAAGTAGACACTTGATAACCCTAGTGATGTACCGCATTCGAAACTCGTTCGATAATTAAAGAGACCAGCGAATGATAAATAACGAACTGTCCGAGTTTTTACCACAGATGTCATTATCTTGGCCAGCACTATCTGCCGTCGCACGATTACATTTATAAAATATGGTGTTATATTACCGCACGATGGTCATATTACAATTTTACAAACCATTTACATTTCTCTGTAGGGCAATGGTCTTTTCTTATAGAGAATGATTAGTTAAAATAATATTTATTCTAGTTAATCTTGTTTTGTGTTCTTTACTAGCTGTTCCCGCGACTTTGTCCACCTGAAATTAACTTTATTTTACTAAATTAAAATCTTTTTTTTAAAAGTAGCCTAAGTTACTTCTTATTACATCAGCTATCGGCCAATAAGTCCCGTCAAAATCGGTCCAGCCATTTCAGAGATTAGCCGGAATAGCGTCTGCCTTTCAGGCAGACAGACAAAATTGTAAAAAATGTTACTTTGGTGTATGTACCGTATTTATATGCATTTAGTAAAAACGGTTATTTTAATATTACAAATAGACACTCCAATTTTATTTATATTTATAGATTAATTTCTTCTTCATCAAAGGGTGAGCAGTGAACATATTGCTTAACTGCTTGGAAATAGCTATGCTTCATGCATTGCCATTTACGAACAGTTATTCGGTGATGTCTCAAATTTAGAGATCTTGTTTATAGACGACTAGCTACTCGCCCCGGCTTCGCACGGGTATACATATATTATATATACAAACCTTATTCTTGAAGTACTATCTATTAAAAAAAAATCGCATCAAAATCCGTTGCGTAGTTTTAAAGATTTAAGAATACATAGGGACGGACAGACAGAGACAGCGACTTTGTTGTATACTATGTTTTGATTGTTATTTGCACTAAAAATACTTATGACATCATTGGGGACAAAATGAGTTTTATTCCAAAGTTCATATATAATATGTAACTGTTTGTATAATTTTATATACAAGTTGTTTTAATACCTAAATAATTGTATGTTTTATTAAATCATATGTCAATGCCAATAATAGTAAAATTAAACAAAATAATTCTAATTCAGTGCCTATTACAATATCAGTGTGATAACCTAGTTGGTGTGTCAAGTTATCAAAAGTATCTTCGAATGAAACGCGAGGACAAATAGTTCTTATTAATAGTTGTCAAGATCATAGGTTAATTATTATAAATTTCAATTTTAAACTGTTTTATGAACGTTTAATACCTATAATTCTTAATTGTTACCAAGTTAGTAAATTGTCCATATAATTTTTTTCTTTATGAAATTGCGGTGGTATAGATTTAGCGTTTTTTATTGAGGGTTTTGGGCTATTGTTAGGTGTTTTTTTTTTGGGATGATAATGGAATGGTACACCCGCTTGCGCTAACAGTTTAAGCTGGTGGGGCACCAGTGAAGGATGATAAGATGAGCATGAGGTCAGGTCAGTTGGGCTAATCGTGACAAATTCACCAAGAATTTATCACCATGGTCTGCAGGGGAAAACACGTGGAGGTCAGCCTGACATGGTACTTTGCTAGCAATACGATCTTCAGTTCACATTACTAATAATCCCCTTTCCCCTATCGTTAAGTGTTAATAGATCTATTGCGCTCGCCCTTTTAGTAGTCCATCAGGGACAAGAATTGAAGGATAGTCTACGATGGTTTTTATCTCCTCAGATCAGGAGGTTCTATTTCATACACGATACAAACATTTGTATTCATTAGTATAACTGTTTGTATTGGTGGGTAGGTACTATCTATACGTATTATGTATGTACTTACAAACAAACAAATTTGATTATTTCTATCAATTGTTTAGTAGCCATAACAAAAGCTCTGTTTAGTTTAGGACATGGCTCTGTGTGAATTGTCCTAAGTTATCATTATTATTATTTATTAAAATGTCAATTTATATACTAATAAATATAAATAAAGTCTCGTAAAATCCAAATATCATATACAATATACAGTATTGGAAATAAACGACAATAAAAAAGAAAGTAGCTATGAATTATGTTTACAAACAGTGCAAAAAAACTGTTGTATCGCATTTCGCTTCATTGGGACCGCTCGAGTACCGGTACTATCTTCACATCAAGCAGATACGAGTGGAACGGGTGACAGCATAGCGTATGTATAATTGAAAGGTTCTACTTGAATTGTGTTGTTATTAACCGACTTCAAAAAGAAAGAGTTTTAAAATCTGATTTTTCTTTTTAACACCGCCTTACTTTCCGATGGTCTCGGCTTTGATTCCTCGCACGGTACAGTTATTTGTATTCTTGAGTATGATTGTTTGTATCGGACTGGGAGTATTCTATGTATATTGTGTTTATAAAAAATATAAGTATTTATATCAGTTGACTAGTACCCATAATGCAAGCTCTGCGTATCTTGCGACTAGATGGCGTTGTGTGAATTGTCTAGAGGTATTATTATATTATTATTATTAATTTACCATTCACTCTGGAGAGGTTTAAATTAATTATATATACATTGAAAAAATGACGCAATCATAGATTCTTATTGTAAAAACTATATTTACATATTACAGCTCTGTATTATATACAACATGTTCTTGTGGCATGTGCATAATGAATAAAGGCATAATCAAAAGCTTGTCTATCGGTTTGAGTTCTGTCATTGTGTACTATGTCTTATTGGAGGAGAAATTTCCAGTGATGCATTTTAATAAGTGTATTGAATTTTTCGATACAGATTTTGAATACCTTTTCGGTAGAGGCCTCTGATTCTATAAAAAAAGTGATATTTTAATAACAAGGTTGAGTACATAACAATAATAATAACCGAATAATTTCGAGAATTAAAAAAGCCTAAAAAATTTATTATAATAATTAATATATATATACGAATTTAATATGGTTTGTACAATTATATATACAGTATTTTATGTACAGATATATATCTCTATCAACCGGCACTTACTCGAACCAGTTATCAACTGCAAAATTTTTATCGTTTAAATACGAAAATATATTAATAAAAATAATTTAAAAAACAAATAAACTCTCATGTAGTTAAGCATTTTTTTTAATGAAATGGCGGATATAGGAAGACGGCATACCTAGAAATAATTGTCTGCTAAAATTTTAGCTACTACTATTATTGCTCTTTTTTTATTTGTCTCTATATAATAAAATATACAAAGAGAAACAAGTTAACAATCAATGTTGACTAACTAGTCACCCTTGATTGTTAATACTATTGCTAATTCAAATATATCTGGCTAACTGGCCAGATATATTTGAAAATTCGTTGTAAGATAATTTGTAACAAGTGACAACCCTATTGTGGTATAGGACTGTCGTGCACTATAAATACATCGCGCTCACATTATTATCGCGCATATAAATCTATGTAAGATTGAATATAAAATAGTTAATTTGTTTTACTTCACGTCAAGTTGAATTCTAAATAAATAATTTATACTATTAACAGCAAGAGATTTGATATGTAAATATACAGGATGTATTTTCAATGTTTGGGGGGGGGGGAGTTAGTTATGAGAATTACTAACATCGTTGCTAGCAATGTGCCATGTCAAGTCGAAGTCTGCTTTGTCCCTCCTAGTATCCATCACGGCTATTTCCTGATGAATCGTTTTTACCAAGGGCTACCCTCATGATTATTAGCGACTGCACCATACGATGGTAGAAAATATTTTCTTGTATCGAACATACAAGAAAATATTTTCTAAGTCAATTAAAAAAAAATTCGAAATATTAATTTTTAAAGTCTCTTTATTAAGCAGATTGTATTTTTTTCTAACACTGAGGTGAAGCATATATTTATTATTTTTCACTATTTCGATTGACTTCAATATTTTTCATATTCGCATTTTAGTTTAAATTTTCTTACCTTTTTAAGTAATTGTAATGTCAAATAAGCCAACTAACGTGATGGTAAGTGGTAACCGTCGCCTATATACATGAACACTGGCACTACAGAAATCACGTTATCATATGACTTACATGATACTGCTTATGTGATGCAATTCCGAAAGCAGATATTCACGTCTCTTATTCTGTAATTTAGTGAAATGACAGAAGAAGACGTGACACACGTGGCAATGTGAAGAAGAAGGCAGTGGCCTTACCACGGAAATCTATCACAAAGCAAACTTGAAGGCTGAAAGCTGAGACTGAGTTTCTACACACGACTTTGTACAAAAATTACTTCGCTGAAAAAGTGTACATCACTTTCAAAGGTATTAATTATCAACGAATCGCCAAAATAACTATAAATTACACGGCAATATCGTATTAAATAACACCTCGATGACAAACAGAAATTACACGAATATATTAAAAAATACTGTATACGGACAGACAAGTTCATTTTTAATTACAGTCAGATATACTTCGTTCACTCCTGAATAGGTATTTATAAGGTTATTGCGAGTGGTTTTTGTTTGTGAATGGATTTATAATAGTTGTATGACTGCTGCTGCAACTTGGTCATCCGTCATACTCGTGAATGATTTGATAGTTCGTTTCGATTTGATTCGTAGATTTGATTTAATATCTGTAATAGACCTACATGTATTTTAATTTAATTTATTTTCTTTCTTTGCAGATGAAATGCGAGTGGAGGATCGATATTGCTGCATAACATAAGGTGAGTAAAATTGCAGTGACAACGACCAAATGTAATAAATAAGTCAAAATTATTATTAAACTATTTTTAATAATATTATTCAAAAGTACGACCCACACAACGGAAAGTGTTAATTGTTACCTATAATCTAAATCTAAATATATATATATATAGATCACGGTGATACCCAAAGGCCCAAAATACCCCTTACGATGCCCTTCATGTAGACTAAATAAGTAAAGAATTCCTTTTTTTGGAATGAAAAATGAATTTGCACATGTATCCGTTTTCGCTTTAACCTTTAAATTAAAACTATGGTGTCCTCACCGCACCTTACTCACATAATGTACGCCATTATCCTGTTAGTGCTAAAACATCAATTATCCCATTAACGTGAGAAATGCCTTCGCCATTTTGTAATTCCCAAGTGATACTGTACAATTTAATTTCATCTTATTATAAAATGGACGCACCTGCTTGGTCATTCATATTTTGCTCATTATTTATCGTTTCAAAATTCATTACGCGTCATTTTTTTAAATGAATATATATTATACATTTAGGTAATGATAATCTTGATTGTAGACCTACTCATTTATAAAAACGTCAAACCTCTGGTAAATATTTTTATTGTAAGAGAATAGTAATGAATTTATAGGAGATTTTAGTAGTAGTAGTATTTTAGTAGAAAATGGTAAGTTTGTATTGCTTAGGCTAATGCAATATTTCTGAGGAGATGGGAGGATGGTGAGAATGATAGAGATACTTGCGAATTGATAACATTGAAGTCTATTATAAACATAACATGAACATTGTAAACATTATAGAAACGAGATAATATTATTAAAGAGCTACCGATATTTCGACGCTGTTACAAATATAGCTATCAACTATATAAATTAACTAACTATTATAAATATAGCTATAAGCTATCAACCCGTGACTAGTGACGGGTTGATGTTTGTTACATCGTCATCAGGACGTTTGTAACAGTGCCGTCGAAGTATCGGTAGCTCGTTAATAATGTTATCATGGTAAATAGCTCATTTGTTTAATAAGTACAATTGTAAATAACTGTAAAAAAAGTATAGAATTACATAACCATTGTTTGTTTTATATTATTACTTCATGTAGGTACCTACTATGTAACAAGTTATAATAGAGAGAGAAGGAATAATTTTTTCCAATAGTTTATCAATATATTTTATTGATGCGCCTTTTCATTTTTGCCTAATTTATAGCGATCTTGATAAATGGGATATCCAACAGTAAATTAATTTTTCTATTCTAATTAGAAGGTAGTTCTTGTGATTATCGAATTTAACCAAATAAATAAACAAGTACAGATAAACTTGGTAAAATATTCTAAATATATGTATAAACATTGTTTGTTTTATATTGTTGTTCCATGTAGGTACTATACAACAAGTTATCCAATTATTATATCACCTCTTTATATGTAAGTACGTAGGTAATTAGGTATAAAGATAAACCGACCTTTGAGATAACATCTTTTGGCTAATTGTGCGTCATGATTAATAAATTGTATCAATTAGTGAATGTCAAACGTTGTACCACAGTTAAGTAGTACAGTTAAAGTACGCCAAGTTATCTAAAGTATAACTTACCTAGATAAAATGTAGAGCAGATAATAAGTGGCTATTAATTTTAAGCTATTTTTGCTTAAAGATGTTTCGTAACTATTAACTAGAACCATTTTTAGTTGTGTAACAAAAACTTAGTATTTTTTTTCGTAAATTTTTATAGTTTTGTTATTTAAGGTAATTAGTTGTTGATTTTATTTACTCTTCATTTTATTTGCTTCCATCACTCTAGCCATGCAAAAATGCCTGGCTAGAGTGATGTTTAGCTTTCTTCCCGTAGTTACAATTTACGACGGTAACGAAATTATTTTTAGATGGCAATTTAATAATATTGTCATTTTTTTATTGATAGTTAAGGCAGATGTAATTATTGGTCGTCAAAATGTTTTATTTTTTATTTCATGAATTGGAAATTACACACAACTATTTTTTAAATGATTAATTTCTAATGTTTGTTCTTACGTTAGCTACCATATTTTTGTCTTTTCTCTTTTATTTGATGGTTGTCTGAAAAATATTGTATAAGCGATAAGGCCACCTGAACCTTGTCTTGTTAATTTTGAATGCTGTAATATATCTGGTGCAATAAAGAGTACATAAATAGATAAATAAGTATCCAGTGCATAAAATGTCCGTCTGTGAACTTGTTTTGTAACAACACTTACACTACTTGACATGTTACAATTGGAACTAATGCACTTTTCATCAAAACCAACTGCGCCCGCGCAGCTCACTTGAGTCAACATTATTTAAGTACAGAAAACGAAGAAATCATTTTAATTTAGTAAACACACTATAAAAGAGCGTTGGTTCGTGACTTACGCGCGCACAAATGTACACACAATGTAACAATCCGCAATGTTCCAAAATAAATATGGAATAAGAGAAATTCAAGGAACATAAACTTTGTTTTTGTGCAAACAATGAATAATAAACTGGGTATTTATATGTAAAAAAAGTTATAAGTTTAAAAATAAAAGAATCTTACTTCCAGTTAGTTTGTATTTGGCGTTTTAAGTAAGCAATATTCTCCACATACATTGTATTCTACTATATATAGATTTCTTACTTAAGGATAAAATATATTCTTCTCTAAAATACATTATGAAAACGAACTGCGCCTGTGCTTTACATTCATGGTAGAATAAGAAAAAATACTATTTAAAAATACTTATAGTATAAGTTTGTTTTTAAAGAATATTTCAATTAATCTAGTACAGATTTATTCTCTATTATCAATCTCTATAATCAGGAAAAAAACTGTACAAATTGTTAGTTACAGATTAAAAAAAATATAATGTAACCGATACAAATACAACAAAATTATAATATTGTAGAATAATACATAGTATTATGAAAATTAGCTAATTGATCATAGATCATGGACAGTGGATCTATGATCACTGTGAGATGTTTGATCTAATCAGTTACCGTTTACGCGTCGGAGTTCATTTCACTTTCTTGGGCATTGCCACCAAGTGTACCTCCTCTACATATGCATGCAATAGTTATCGGTGTATACTTTAATGCACGCAATTGTACTTGCTTTGTTTATACGACCATGTATGTTTATATTTTAACACATTACATTTTAACAACTTCAATTTATATTCATCAGTAAAAATTACATTTGATCATTCAATATGAATGATTGATAGTGATGAAGGACCGAGTTCAGTTTCTGTAAATTTTTTAATGTTCTGTAGTTTTCTTCATTTATGTGTTACAGAATTTATTATAAGGGTATGTAATGTGTAATATTTTTATTTACAAGTAAAACAGTCTGCAGCCCTTCTCTATATAAATTATAGTGTGTAATTATGTACTCTTCCGAATATAAAATTTTCGAAAAAATGGGTACAAAGTTTTGGCTTCACTTATTAATATTATGATAAGATTAATAGTAGTTTCTACTACATGTAATTAGAAGTTAAATTGTGCATTGAACCGTTTGCGGTTAACACTTTCACGGTTAGGTTGGATTGTAAGAAAAACTGATCTAACAGACTGCCGACCGCAAACCTAAGTGTGCGCACGCGCCGATTAATTTGTAGTACGCGCGTGGTTTTCTTTGTAACTATCTCGCACTTATGGTAGTATCATATTTGTAGTTAATCGTGAACTAACCGCTTCTAATGACTTCACTCATGAATTAATTTCAGTTCTATTTGTAATTTTTTATAGGATATGCGGTTTTGATTAAGGAATACTGTAACTCATTTTTGAATCAAATTTGACGAATTTATTTCCTACTAGCTGACAGCAATATTGTTTGTGTCACTTAAGAGAGTGGGAAGGAATATTTTTTTGTCTGTTATTTCATTGATGCCCGCTTCTGTTGCCTAACTTAAAACTTTTCTTGATAAATGGGCTATCCAACAATAAACTAATTTCTCAGTTCGAACTGGAAGGTAGTTTCTGAGATTCGACTTTAACCAACAAAATAAATAAACATGTATAGATAGATATAGTAAAGAATATATGTATATATGATACATACATATGCTGGCAGCTAGACAGCAATAGGAGCCGCAGTGTGAACATCTTTTTCAATCTTAACTTTCAAACATATAGGAGACGGTGATTACTTACCGTCATATGGGCTGGTTTGCCATTACAATTACATAAAAAAATAATTTACATTTAACTAACAAAATAGATGAGAATTAAGTAACTAAAGCTGTCCACAATATACTGGTTAACTTAACTGGCGTTTGAAATAATTTCTAAACGACAAGAATTTTACCACATAAAAGACAAGTTAGTCACGACTGTGTCGCATATTTTCGTTTTGTGTAGCGATATATTTTGAAACGGCACATTAGTTCCGGCGTTCGATGGTCACGGCAATGTTTGGACAAACATTTGGTATTCGTACCCAAATACTGAAGAATAAAGAAAGTGATAACAAGAATAAATTTCACATTTTCATTTCTGCAAACAAAAATGGTGATTGAATTGAGAATAATAATTCCATCGTATTTTGTTTTCAATGCTTCATCCTTCTCAAAATAAACCGTGATCGGTAGAGGCTTAAAATGATTTGAAGCGTTTTATTTCGAGAATGAAATAAATGTAAATGATATAAATACGTCATCGACACGTCGGCGAGTTATATCGATAAAAATCACGAGTTTGGCTCTATTCCATTCAGACTTGTGTCCGAAATCGTTTCGAGACATTTATTCATTTTTAGATACGAACGCAAGTATCTGTACTGACTAATATGCGAAACTAAAATACGAAAATGACTTTGTTTGTTTGATATACTTTCGCATCTCAACAGTGGAATAGTTTAAGATTAAATTTGTTTCAAATATACCTATATTGATGGAGGCCCTGGGGGCAGTTATAGGCTACTATTTCTTACGAGAAACCTATACCTAGAACCTACAAAAAAGAATTAATGTTGTTTTT